ATTTACTTTTGGACAGGAGTGTATTCATTTGGGTTTTTTTTTTTTCTCAGTTTTCTTAAGGAAATGCTTGGACATCAGGTTGTATATTAGCACAGTTTTCCTGCTTCATGCACCCAATTGCTAAAATCTCAGCTACTTAGGAACAGGAAACCCCTTTGGAATTTCAGTCTGAAGTGTCTAGTCAGTTGTTGCTTGATCACCTTTACAGAGAAATAAAGTTTTGAAAATGAAAATTAAGTTTTGAAAACTGAAGTTTGAGCACAATTTTTAAATTGAAAATAAATTTCAATTTCTCTTGCTTAATAAGAAATCAGTTTGGGTTTCTGTTTCAATATAAGCTTTAGGATTGTTAAATAGGGCCACTTTTCCTCTAAATTTGTTCAACTGTATCTTTTCCATTTGTGCTCAGCAAAAAATACTTAAATACCTATTCCAGAAGAAATAGAGGAAAGAATATATTCTGCAGTATTTAGCTGTCCATTTGGGGATCAGGTCACTTTTTTCACCTTGCTTTTAGCAAATGGCAGAAGTGACTACTGTCAAAGAACACAAAATGAAATCTAATATATTCCCACAAATTATTTCTGGTTATGTTAATCTCAAGTATTTATTTACCTTTAGAGCAGGGCCAAACTGTGAATCAGGTGCCTGGAGATTTTTAAAAACATTTATATATACTTGGGAATTCTAATAGATTTTGAAAAGTATGAAAGCAGATGTTTGTGGATAAATAAGCCTTTTTGTTGTTTACACATATTCCACCAGAAAAATCTGTTTAATCTGTTCTTAAAACATTAAGCCTGAAAAATTGAAAGGTTGGGATAAAAGGATCTGTTGGGTCTTTTGTCTGAGATGCACCTACATTTGCTCATCTGTTCAGGGGCTGCTTAGCATTTAGGAGGGGGAAATCTATTCTTTAGTTCATGTATGAAAATGTACAATACTTTATATCAATTATTTGGCTGATTGCTGGAAGTGCATTGGAGTGAGGGGGCACTGGCTAGTTCTGGCCTTCACTAATGGGAGCATTTCAGAATGTGGATGGTAATTAAAGTATAGAATGCGGAAAATTAGGCCAAAATTGAATAGAAATGAGTAAGTATGTGTTCTGTTGTGCAGATGTTGGAAATAGATTATTTTGGATACCTCTTTCTATCTACATCTTATTTGGTTACCGTGTAAAATTCGGTCATACACCATGTAGATTGTTTCTCTTCCCATTACCTTCTCTGTTTTTATGTTGTGATGTATCTGTATAGGTAGTAATTTAGCAAAATATCCTGTCTGCCAGGTGTGGGAACTAGCTGATTGTATTGTAATACCAGATCATTACTTAATTCATATGCAACCTAGCCTAGCACATGGAAAGCATTATAAATCTATTTACAGTGTGGCTGGTCTGATGATAACATTGTATTAAATTCCCAGGTGAGGCAATTTAAGCAATTGCTTTGCCATGTGTAGGCCATGGAAATTAACTTCTCATATGCTTTAGTAATAGAAGAACTTCATTGGTATGCTCAGATTAGTGGTATAGCAGAATTCTTACAGTCTGGTTACGTGTACCCTGCTTCACATGTAGAATCATACAGGGGGGTGGTACTGCAGATCACAGATCTTAATTAGTTTAAGCTGAGTTAATTCATTTCAATTCTAATTTAGCTGGGCTTGCCTATGAACACATTCAGTTCTATTGGGAAATGTTAAGGCTTGGGTCAAGTAGACAGATTGTTTAAAGCCAAATTGCCAGACAGAACTGAGCAAGTGTATCTGTTTGAACAGGGCTTTAAGGAAATCACCCAATCAGTATGCAAAAATCCTGTTCATAAACCAAGAGAGATCTGCCTGGAATCAGAAATTCTTCCTTGTCAGAAGGTCTGGGTACTGCAGTACATTTAAAACAGCCCCTGAAACTTTCTGAGTGCTGAAGTTCTTGTAGAAAGTAGCTTAACCCTTTTGTGTCTGTGTTTGGGCACATGCTATACTCAGTTGCAAACACATTCACTGAGCAAAACCACTTGTGTGCTTAGACTTTTTGTCTAGGTATATACAAGAAAATATAAAATACAAGGAAAACTTCTATATGTGACAGAGCTTTGCAGACAAAAAACTGCACACAGAACCTCTTAAACCTATATTGAGCTGCCCAGAAATGCCTTGGATTACAAACTCTGTAAAGCTTCTGTCTTTTCTAGAAACATACATATAAAGTACCAGTAGACAGTGGTAACTGACAACTAAGACTAAAAATGTTGACAATTTCTTGATTTGCCTGGTTAGCTTATGTATAGAAGTCATTAACTATTTATAAAATGCATTATGAATTGGGTTCCTTCAAAATGTAGCAGAGTGTGTGACATTTCCAGCTCAAACTATCATTCTTGCATTTGGCTAAAGTATATATTTATAAACAGCTGGTGGTTATGAACTAAAAAAATAAAAAAAAACCCCTTAATTATTCAGACAAGCTGAATTTGTCTTGAGCTTGATGGCCGCATTTTAAAATGTTAGCCAATAATACTTTATTAAAAATAAGAATAGTATTTCAAGATATTGATATTTTGGACAAATTCTGAAAGAATAAAGGAACACTTTACTTCAAAGACCTTTCCTTTTATATTATTGATTCATTTGGTAGTGAAACTGTGATCAAAAGTAGTATCAAATTATTTATTGATTATGGCAAAGAGTTCTACCTGATTGTAGCCAAAGCATTATTTCTTTTAATAAAATTTTTGATTTCAGATCATGACCGATTTATTACAATAGAAGAACTATACAAATATATTTATTAAGTTCACTGGCAATAATAGTAAAGGAATATAAGGGGCCTCTAAAAATTGTATTGCTATTAACATTTATTTCTTTCCCATGAAGTGTATTCTTTTTCCTTTCTCCCATGCAGGCTCTTAAGAATGATAGTATTGTCCAGTTATATCTTTCAAATAAATGATGTGTAATCAAGGACGATTTCAGTCCCTACATATTATTAGGAAGCTTGTTCACTAGAGAACAAGCTCATGAAGCATCATGCTCCTCATCTCAGTCTAATAATGATAAATACATTCAACACTAACAGGATCAATGGGGCTGAGTCATTTTGTGAAATTGGGAGAAACTGTACAGTTGAACTACTAGACCTCAAATGAGGTCTTAAGATTGAATTTTAATCAGAAAAGAAGATTAGATATTTATTGGTATATATTTGTAATTTCCTTCCTTGTTTGATGTGTATCAAATGAAAATACGAAAATAATGTAATTGAGCAATCTATGCCAATTTGTTGGCTTTTTGGTGAGAAAAGAGAAAAACAAAACCTATCTCCATATGATATTCTTGCATACTGTGGAGTGTTTTAGTCCCCCATAGTGATGAAATGAATAATTTAAACAGGCAGCTCTGATACCACAGCCTGTTTAAAGGTTCTCATTTCCTTTAATGCTGTAGACTACTTCAGCTTGGTTAGTATGAAACTGTGACAGCTGAGATCTCCAAAAGATTTGGCACAATTCACTTCTTGCTGTGGGTCCGTGGTCCAAGGCTTTGTCCTTCCTACTTACATCTGTAGCTTTAGGATCTGATGGCAAGTGAATCACAAATGTGTAAACATTACAGCAATCATGTTGGTAATAAAGGGGAGCTACACAGCATAAACAGCTAAAATGTTTTGCTCTGAGGTGACCCGTACAAGGCTTACTTCACTGCCTGGTTCCTTGCACAAAGGGTGACCCACTTCCAAGCCTCCTTGCTACTAAGATGATGAATTTCCCTGTGCTCAGTATAATTTTTAGCATTTTTTTCCGGTGCCTCAGTCCCAAACACAAGTTTTGCCATGATGGCCCAAGCAGGGAAGGTTTGAAGAGGGATTTATTTTTTTCTGAGTTCCTACTGGTAGTCACTATGGTAGGGTGTAAGGGAAACCCCCATAATTAAAGTAAGGGCCCACAGCTTAGGTTTTGTTACTCTTGGGTTTCTTCCTCTCATGAGGTGTAAAAATTACCATAACTACTCTCAAAAAGAAAAAAAATTAGACAATATGTTCAAAATTTAATCCTTCCTTTAATGATAAGTGTGGGACTATTAACTGAGTAATAGCCTGTTATTTGGCTAACAGAGAAATGATGTTAGCCAAATAACATCATGTTAGCTGATGTTCTCATTGTGGACTTCCCTATTGCTCCATTGAATCATGTGCTACCTTGCTAATCATCACATATTTGCTTTCCAGTGTTTGGCACTTGATCTAGTTTAGAATCAACATAATTACCAGTTCAGGAGCAAATCTGGTGTTCATAAGCTGTGAATTTACCTAATATCCTGTCTGTCATAACTATCCCATGAATGACTGTCTTAGTTTTGTGGTGTTTCTATGAACTGCTGAAAATCAGTGTTTCCTTGTTGTGTTTTTCTCTTCTTTCTTTTGCCCTTTAATTTCTGATCCTTTCCCAGCAGCCTTAGCAGCATAGAAAATGCTTGTTAATTTTCTACATCTTTAAATTGAATCAGATAATGTGTGGGTTGTTCAGGTTTGGTTTTTGGTTGGTTGGTTTGTTTTTGTTTTTGTTTTTTTTTTTTTTAATGTGGGAAAAGCTCAGTCTTCCTTTCCTGTCTAGTGGCATTGCTGCCATCACTGTTACATTGTGTTCTTTGACCTGCTAGCAAGTGTTCTTCAGAAAAATGTGTTTGGTTCCTGCACTGTCATTTTTTCAATGCTTCTGCTATTAGTGTATATTGCCTCATGTTACATATCTCGAGCTTCACAGAATCTTCTTTCATTGCTGCAATGTTGAGGGTGTGACTTAGAAATACTATAGTTTTGCCATGCAGGTTTTTTAAGATACAGCAGTTGAAGAACTTTGTAATAACTTTCACTTGCAGATTTTTTTTTTTTTAATCAAATAGGTATCCATTAGGGGGCTCTCGAGGTTTAAGATGATCAGCCTTGATACCAATGGCTTCGGAGCTTTACTTCCTAACCCTTTTTTCTTTTTGTTTTACAGAAAAGGTCACGAATCGCCTACAGTGATGAGGTGCGGAATGAACTCCTAGGGGATGACGGGAATTCCTCAGAGAACCAGGTAGGATGCTAATCAAGAAGCCCTAGTGGGTGGCTGGAGGGTGAAGGAGGTCACTGGCACACTGGGCTTCTCAAGCTGCTCCTTAACAGCATTAGCAACAACTCATGTGGAAGTGATACTGTTTAATGCAAAGCTGGGGTCTTAATCAACTTCAAAATGTTTCTTGGAGATCTTACATTTAACCCTTTAACTTGTGATCACTGTCTGCTATCTCAAAAAAAATCTTTTCTTCTCTTTTCTTTATTATTTAGTACTTAAGAAATAACTTGAAACACGCTGTTTGCCGACAAAGCCAAGGTCTTCACCTCAAACACATGTAAAAGGAATAAAAAAGTACATAATGCAGCTTTGATAATAATGCAGTATAATTAAATCAACACTGGCAGGCAAAACAAATGAAAGTGAGCTCTCAGAATTAGGCAGTATCCCACTCAGCTTCCTTGTGTGATTCCTCCTTTAACCAGATTTTCTCTCCTTGTACCAAAAACACAAGTTGTACTAATAAGAGCGTGCTTTCATAATGCAAGTTGTACTAGGATGCAGAGTGCTATCCACCTCTTTTAATGAATGAAAGCTTGATAATCCTGAGGCTTTTTAAAAATCTTGTACCCGTATTGTTGTTCTGTGTACTACAGTGTGAGGATCCTTATAGACTACTGAAAATTGTGAAGGCAATGCTTTCTTCAGGAGTCTTTGACACACCTGTTAATATTTCTTTTTGGGATGAAAATTGTTCAACACTCTGTCTGAAAGGGGAATATTTCTTTTCTATCTAAAATTTGTTATCCAAGTCTTTTATTTTTGGAGTTAGAAGTTAGCTGAAAGTTTTCCTAGTGGTCATATTTTCTCTTCTGGCCAGATGGAATCCAAATTATTTTGCTAATGAAAGAAAAAAGGGTTTAAATTTTTACTTGATAAATGTGTTATTTAATAGGGAAATTGATCAGAACAATGTTCTGAATTTTTTTTGTATCTTCCACAGTCAGTATTGGCTCAGCTCCACTAAGGACAGGAAAAATAAAGACTTAGAGACTTACCTTGTACAAGGACTTTCAAAACACAAACCCCATAACCCCAATCTTATAGAGTATTTTAAACACACTGAATAAGTTTTAAACTCTCTAATAGACTTTAATTCGTATATGTATGAAATTAGATACAGGATACATTATCTGAAGACATAAGACTGGAGAATAGCAGCTCTGATATCTATGTAAAGACTTAAATTTAAGGGATGTTAGTCTTCATATTTATATGTGATAGAAAGGGGAGATTCCAAAATTTGAGTAAAATAAAGAGGGGATTTTATACCTAAATAATGAATTTATGGAGAAGATTATTTTGGGGAGAAGAGTTCCGCAGTCTGTATGTCATGATTGTAAATGAAGTCCTGTGAAACTGTTAAGGTTCTCATTTTATTTCTCTTAAGGTGCTGCTACTTTTACATTTCAAGAAAAAAAATGTGTGAATTCAGACATAAAAGGGCAATTGTGATAAGAAGTTTTACTTATAACAGAATATCTTATGTGTAGGGATGAGATAAAATATTTTATTTTCACTTTTTAAAGAATGTTTAAATAACTGGTTCATGTGAGCACTTGCTGTGACTGATCTTTTTTCCAAACTTGGTGAAAGAGACATGTTCTCATCTCAAGGAGCTAAATGATACCTTCAACCATTTGTCAAATTTGGGCTTTTTCTTCCAACTGACCACTATTTAAATGGAGGAAAAACTTGTGCTGAAGGACTCTTGTATAGTGTTTTAGGTAATCAAATCCCTTTTCTGTAGCCCAACTTGAAATTATTACCTCTGTACCTTTTACAGTTCTTCATTCTTTTCTTGAAAAATATAATGAAATAGCACCATAAAGGAGTCACCTAATTTATTTTAAAAATGTGAATGCCAGAATTTTAAAATTACCTTATGTATTGTGTTGTTCCAATAATCAAGATCACATTCTCTTTTCTTATTTAATATCTTTATTTATACCTGTACTTACATATATATGTAGATATGGGTGCAAGCAGTTAGTGCAAAAACTTCAACTGGTATTGAGCTTATTAAAATGTGCAGCTTTCAAAATCAAGAACTAGACACTGAACAGGAGATATTGTTGTTTTTAACTCACTCCTATACATTATTATAGCAGTAGAAAACTTGGAGTAAATGATGACAGGATGCTCGGTGTGACTTAAAGCCATGTAAGATAGTTGACGAGGTTTCAAATGCTTGCTTTTGTTTTGTCTGATGGAAATAAGTATTGGTACATGGGCTGATCCTGACTAATACTGTAGGATTTTTACTTCTCAATCAGTTTGGATTAGGTTAAATTAGTTTAACTGAAAAATGGTGGGTTTTTCCCCAATTCGGTCACCAGCTGTGAAAGGGGAGAGAAAGGATTCCTTTTCTGACAGAGGAAGTATTGATAAAACTTGCAGCTCAGAATTGTTCCTGTCCCAAACCACAAAAATTGGTAAAATCTGCCAATAGAAATATTGAATACGTGGGTAGTCAGGGTTGTTACCCAGAGGCAGATAAGAGATATGAGTTGTTGTCTTTGTCATTGTGATAAACATTTGCATGATGTTTTTGGTGGAGAGAGAAGACAAAAGGAGCTTAATGCTTGCTGGCTTGTATGACCATACTAAAAGGCTAGAAATAAAACAGATCACTGTTGGAAAACTAAATTATTAGGATCTTTTCCTCATTCACCTTTTCTGTTTTTAGTTGTGTTTCAAAGGTACAATTACAGCAAACCACAGCCAAGTTATAAGCTGTAATGAGTAGGATGATAGGTATAAGTTTCCAGTTGTTCTCTCCGGAAGAAAAATTGGAGTACAAAGAACAGATTGAAGAACAGATAATGGCGATTTGTCTTTTGTCTTTTTCATTTTCCCAACATGTCTCCCAAAAGTAGCAGTACTACCATTGTATCTAGATGGCACTTAGAATAACTTGGAATAGAATTCCCTTCTAATGATTTTAAAAAGATTTAACTGCTTTTACCAGATAGAGCATATTGACATTTCCTGTAAGAAGTTGTAAGAATTATATAATTCTGCTATTGAAAGTTTCTTTTGAAATAAGTGCAGCTTGTTGTCATGAGACAGGTAGTGAATGATATAGTGCTCTTAATGATCCTAGGATTCAGTAAAGTCATTGCTTAACATTAACTTTTTCTTAATTTGAATCATGTGAATGTAGTCAGATGAGGCGCTCATAGGTTGAAAATCAAGAAATGTCCCTTCTTGCATCAAAAAAAAACCAAAAACAACCCACCTTACAGACTCAATCCCAAAAATCTACTGTGTGCTTTGGGTTGTTATTTATTTTCCAAGAGTGGTCTTAAACAGGCTATTGCTTTCAAGTCTGGTTTGTCATCCTGGCCACCAACGTTTAGCAAATCCCTTGAAACTTTCGAGTTTTTTGGTGCAGTGATACACTGCCTAAAGTTGTAGGTTCACTTTAATAATAACAGAACTGTTTTATGTAGCAAGTTGCATGTTTTCAAGGAAGTATATTTTGGTTTAAATCAGAAATCTCTCTCAACCGAAATTGTGAGGTTCAGTATTATCAACTTTTTTGAGGTGTAACAGTGTTCTTTTTTCTTTTGCAGCTATGTTCATTAGTAAGTTTAAATAAATTCACATTGGGTTAAACTGCATATCCGTATACCCATACATTCCATACGTGATTCATGGTGAACAAATATTTTGTGTCTACTTAATTTCTGACTACAAAGTTGTGATAATATTAGATTTGGGCTTGCTGTGCATAAAGTGTGTCAAACTTCAGCTACAGACCAGGGGGTGAAGTTGGTCAATTTAATTCGCCAAGATCTAAAGAAGGTCGGTATCATTTCATATAGCCCTGGCAGAGCAGATCATTACCAGACACAAATCTGTTCGTTACATGCCGAGGGTTTATAGCAAAATAAATAGACTGTCATCATAAGTTCAGAAAATTGTGTGTTCGACCCACGATAATGTGTAAAGGGCGTTTAATAGAGTTCAGCATTTATTCGTTATCTATATGCGGACAGAGACGGCGGTGGCGTTATCAGCTTTTTAAAAAAAATTCGGTAGTTTTGTGTCACGTGGTGAGCCTCGTGGCCACACGCCTGCGTGCACACACCACACTCACATCCCATCTCGCTCCCTTGCTCTCTGTGGTGCAGTTTTGATTTTAGTCACAGCAGAAGGCTTAGCCACAAGAGATTCCACTGGTTCAAACCAGCGTAAACCAGATTTTTTTTTTTTTTTTTAGCCTACAAAGGAACAGATTACCTCTTGTATCGAATTCTGTTTTGCAAAAAAAAAAAAAAAAAAGAAAAACATAATCTTTGTTTCAAAAATATGCTGATTATCATAACCTAAAATGGTGGCTGTGCACGGCTAAACGCTGTTTACAGTTCAGGAATGAGCAGAAGAAAAATAGTTTCAAAATAGAAATGTAAAGGTAACACATTTTCATCAAGGGCATTGTTAAATGCGGGAAAAATACATCTTTTGTTAATTTGAATGAATATCTTTCAGCCAATGTTAAAAAAGACCCCAACCCTCTCCCATTACTTAGCTTAACTGCAAATCCCATGCCGAGCTTAAATTCAGCCATGCAGCACAAACAAGATAGAACATTTTTGTTTGGGACCTATTGAAAAAGCAAATGTGCAGCATTTTAAAACTCTCATTGATTATAGCAGGGTGGCATGCCCGGACGGGCTCTATTGCGGGAGAGTCGTTTTAAACTTTGGCCCTTTAAGTATCATAGTCAACTGAAGAATGGTGGCCTCAGAAAGAAAAGATAGCTATGTGATCAACTCCCAGATCGTCTCTTTCTAAAGAGCCTTAATGTTTGCCTTTTTGGGGGAAAAAGGGGGGGAAGAGCTGGAGAAAGAGACCAATTTATGATAGGCCCAGCACTTGAATTTAAGCACTGGTTTGGCTGGCAGTGAGGTTTTCTTTATACCAAATTGTAGCAAAGTTCCTTGAGCTCGGTGCAGAAGAGCTGGCCCGGTTCAATTTGGGGTGCTGTAGGAGCCCCCCTAATTACATCTCATTAGAGCTCCTGTCCCTTCTGGTAACGGGGTGAGGCAAACCTTCAGTTTTAGACGAGCCATATGAGACAATAGAGAATAATGGAGGTTCTTTTGTTTCCTTCCTGCTGGTGAGACTTTATTAGTAGTAAACATTCTCAGCTTACACATGTGTTGAAAATTAATGTTATGAAACTGTAGGTGAAGTATCAGCATAAACTGAGATAATTGTGTAGCTGTTGTAATTTCGAACTGGAATCGGTGAGAGAACTGTAATTTTTTTTTATAAAGGGCATTCTTGTGCAGATATTTGTTGTGAGTAATTATACATTTTGTTCCAGTACAAATAATTTATCTTTCTCTCTAAGGAGCGAGCATATTACAACATAGCTTGATAATCAGGCTGGAGTTTTATTTAGTTTTATAGCAAAGCTGCCAGAGCAATATTAGTGTTAGATTGTGTTGATTTACAAGCATAAATAAATAAATATAAATTTCCGTACTATATAAGCATACACACACGCTCTGTGTGCATATATATACACACTGTATAGTGTTCTGGATCAAGAACCTGGAATGGGTCTTTTCTGATGGAAATATGTTTCATGTTGTTCCCTATTCCTTTGTCTATTTTTAAATATGCTATTCAGTAAACCATAGTTCTGAGCCATTTAACTAAGCTGCTTCATTTTTTTTTACCTGGCAAAACCCCTCAGTATGAAGTTCAATAATAAAATTAAATAATACTGTTACCGTAGAACTCAGATATATAAAAATTGAAATACTGAAATACATGCTATAAAGATGCAGTCATCTATTAATAAGTTAGAATCTGCTAGTGAAATAAGAAATCACTTGTCACAACTAAAATATACAGAAAACATTCTGAAAACTTGTATATACAAAACCACTTCAGCTGTACAATCTTCGAAGAGAGGAGTAGTAAACTTGTTTTTTTCTTTATAATATAGACTTCTATGAAGTCATTCCCCTTTATTTCATGATGGTGTCTTAGATGTGGTTTAAAAGAGAATTTCACACTATTCTCTTTGTTTAATGTGACAGTGTGAGAAAGTGATCTTTATTCGTTCAAAAAACTCTGCATGTAGTCTATGTTTAGGTTCTTTTAATGTGTTTGTCTGTGATTTTTAAATGCTAAACATGTAAACAGATAAATTGTCAATGTTAATTCTGTATCCTGTCACACAACTGATCTTTCTTTCCTGCCATTTCTTTCCTTTTTATCTTTTTTGTGCGTTCATGTTGCAGTTGATAAAATTACGTGAAGAGGTGAGTACTTTCTTGCTTTTTGTTGTCTAGCTTTCCCTTTAAAGCTGAGTTTCTAAATCTGAAGTAGATCTTTTTGTTCATTGTTGCAGGGAAATCTACACAAAGCAAAAATATTGATTACATTGCTTTAAAATATTCACTGTTGTGCCTCTTTTTCCCTAATAATTGTGTACTTACATAGGAATCTCTAGATCAATCCTTAGAAATTAACATTCTTTGATAGTGGAATTTTTTAAAAGGCACTAGAAAAAGAAGGGTGGAAAAAAACTCTATTATTTGATCTCTCCAAGAATACCATGATCAAATCAGGTATAGTAATAATCATGTTTGCATCACAAAATCTTTGATAGGGAAAGTACATTTATACACTGACATTGAAAGTGAAAGCATTGCTTTGGTATAAACCTCTGATGAAACATTTTTAAGATTACATGGTATTTCACAGTGTTTGGAGTTTGGTGTGAGGTATTTAAATAGCTTATGTATTATACTGGATATTGTATATCCACTGAAAATACAGTAGAGGTAGAGAGACCTACACACATATCAATATTTATTATTTATTTGTGAGTGCTGTAGATCTGTAGGCATAACACTAGAGATCAGTATTCCAGAACACCTTTCTTCCAGTTATAAAATGACTCATAAATATTTAGAAAGAAGCCTATTTTAATGGTCAGTTCCTCAAATGCTTCAGTATATTTTCTGAAATTAATGTCTGCTTTTGCTTACTGTTGTAGCAAAGCAGGTATTTGAACTGCTATTTTATTATTTCCTAGTAGCCACTGAAAAGAAGGGCTGACTTAAAGTCAAGTTTATTTGTAGGTCAGATTTCTGGAGGATTTTATGTGGAAAGCTTGGACCAGTGAAGTATTTGAATAAATATATTTGGAAGCACAAGTATTTTAACATCACTTATTTGTCTGGTATCTTCTTTGTGGAACATGTATGCCCAGTAATGTATCAGTAATATATACTGAAATCTGCAGGAAAGGATTTGTGAGTTTTAGAAATGGTGATGACAAAGAATTGTAAAGTAACCAGATTAAGGACAATTACAGAGAATTCTTAAAAACAGGTAGGTATTTGTGATACAAAGATTCTTCACTAGTTCCCCAAATTTTCCCCCTCCTCTCATAGAGCTGATATTAATATGTAAAAGCTATAGAGTAAAAGAGTTAACAAAAAAAAATTAAATTAAATAAACATGTAACCACATTAAAGCCTTCCCACCACTGCTGAGCTCCCCTCCCCACCAGTCCCAGTATTTAAACAGATGACAGTATCGTTGCAAAGGTCTGTATAGCCTGATTTCTGAGGTTTTTCAGAAGACCAAGGTTCATTTTCTCATTCCTTTAACAGCACCTGCATGTCTGCTCCTGTGTGTTTGCAAAGAGTGCAGTAGGATCATTTTTCTTTGCAAATGTAAGAGTATAGTTTTATAAAGACTCCTAATTTTTAAATTTGCTCTGAAAATTTAATTATACATAAAGAACAAAGCTGCTGCTTATCTGCTTTTCTTTTTGAAATAGCTATGAAGACAAGTAAGAAAATTCAGGGTGTTATTGCAAAGGGGCTGCAACTTGGGAGCTATACTGAACTCAGCTATACCTTTTGGATTTTATAAATCCTCTGTGTTTGCCACCTAAAAAAAATTGACATTGCTACTGGTAATTATTTTTGGTTTTTTTGCTTTTCTTTGCTAGCCTCATAAGTTTTTTTTTTCTCCCTGCATATGGTGAAAGCAGCAGAAAATACACTAAATAAAGGAATTTATTACTTTGTCTTGAACAAAATTGTGCTGGTAGAGAGAAAAATAATTTAAAACCCAATTGTTGGCATTCTGTTCTCTGCATGTAAGTACCCACTCTGTGTTGGATAGGTTGTAAATGCAATGGTGTTTTTATACCCGATGCAAAATGCACATTAAAGTTTCAGTGAAGGCTAGTACAGTGACTCAGGCATAATTCTTAACTCGTCACAGAGTGTAACATCAAGGCATCCCCAATTATAGTTCTCCTAAGGAGGTATGAAGTGATCTTAAAAGAAATTGTGGTTTGCCATACTGTTTGTTAATAAAACCTGCGCTTCCTCTCATTACAAGGCTCTATTCTCGCACACTTGCCGTACACAGGCTTCCATGGAGGCTGTGTCGCTCTGTCTTTTGAGCTCCTGAGATCTCAGTTTGAATCCAGCCCACATGGAATGACTAAATCTCTGGTGATAGTGTGCCACTTTGCAAAACTCCCTGATATAACTCCGGATAGAAGCTGTTTCTGAAGCTGTGAGACAGAATCACCGTGCTACCCTCCTCAGAGTGCAGGGGGTACTGTGGGAGAAGGAATTTGGGGAGGGGTGGGAAGCAGTTGAAAGTGTCAGCTGCTGCTATAGGGCATTGATTTCATGTCCAGAGGACAGGGTGCCTCCAAATCCAAACAATGTAAATGACACCACCCTTTATAATAAAATTAGGTTTCATTATAGAATGCCTTGGGTGGAAAGGCTCTGAAATCAAGTTAAGAAATGGCTCTGAGTTAGTGTTAGCACCAAGTTCACAGGGCTTTTGTGTTCTAATTTCTTGCAGTAAGACTGAACTGGGATGGTAATTATTTTCTTTAAATGTGGCTTAAATGGTATAGAAAAACATACAGTCAAACAGTAATTTTTTCTGTTGGGTAGTTCTCTCAGCTTGTGATGTGAAATCTGATTATTTCCCCCTCTCTCCCTTAACACTGGGATGGTGCTTTCATTTCCAGTATACAGCCCTGTACATCTGTTCCGTGATCAGTGTTCACTCCTTGTGCTCACTCCCAGCCTTGGTGGTTTTTAAGTATCTCCTATCTAACTTTTAGGATCCTTACCCTCTAAACTCCTCCTTTTTATGCCCCACACTTCCCACCCTCTTTCCCTTCTACTTTTCTTTCTTGAGAGACATCTATGTGAGTCTTAGGTTTCTGAGGGTTTTTACAAAGTTTAAAATACTTTGTAAAACACAAGTTCAATATCATTTGGAGGGGTACTGTTGGGAGAAAGGTACCATACTCTTTCTTATTTCTAATGGGCAATGAAGAGAAACTAGCAGATGTTATAAAAAGATGCCTTTTTAAAAATAATTAAGCAAAATTAACACTAATTATCTAGATTGACCATGTGTACTAAGAACATGCACCACTCTAGCTGCTGTCATGATTTCAATTAAAGCATTGTAGCTTGTGGTTTTAAATTTTATTAAGTGCTTGCGCTGATTATTTTTTTCTTGGTGGCCTGCCCCCCATGAATGCAAAAGCCTTTTTTGCAATTTTCTCTTAACCTATCCACTGTGTATTAGACAAGTCTATTAATTATTATAGACTGTTATTGCAGCTTTCCTGACCTTCACATTGGGTCCTATCTGTGCTGATCTAAATGCATTGTTTTAATGATTTCCAAAAAAAGAAAAAGAGAGGGGGAAAAAAAAAAAAGGAAAAAAATTCAAGGCAAGCTTTGATGTGGCTTTAGCTGCCTCGATCGTCTGGCCGCATCTCAGAGATGTGTCACCTATGCCGGGAGGGAATAGGGAAATCACGTTTTGAATGGTAATGATAACATACTAATCA